ATCGAGGAAAAGGATGTTATTGATAAATAAAGCGCAAACGTTAACAATCATTTTCGATATAAACGATACCCGCAACGTTCTCGAATCCCTCCCTTTCTTTCTCTTTTTTTAAGCGTACGCGATTTGTTCTTGAACAAAAGAAAACTTTATTTCGACCATTTATAAAAAAGAATAGTAATTGGTCTGTTTTGTACAAGAAAATCACACATTATCTCTCTCATTCTCTCATTCTTTCATTCTCTCTCTCTCTCTCTCTCTCTTTCTCTTTCATTCTTTTGTTCTCTTTTATTCTTCTAGTGTTAATGTTTGTGCAGATTATCGCGTGGAACTTCGGTTGAATTCGGTATCCGTCGGATTAGATCGGGATTCTAAAAGTTCGTAATTTAGTTGGTAGATGTCAGGTAATTCGGAAATGATCGGGTCTAATCGGGATATCTCGAGTGGATACGTTTGGAAATTTTCTATGGTTACAATTTATAATGACAAATCCGATTGAACAATCGTAAAGAAATATTTTGTTAACGAGCATGCAGAAGATTTGAATTTCGAATCCGAAATATAAACGGCATCTAAATCGATAGATACCGATATCTGAAACGTTTCAAAATAAAATTCATAAACAATTAATCGCATCGGATTTGAGATCGATCACGTAAACGTTACAACCGAAATGAATGGAGCGGACGTGGGTGCGAACATTGGACGTTTTCTTCGAACGGTACTCGCAATAAGGACACTTGAACCTCGGCAATTGGCCGCACTCGTACTTGAGATGCTTCTGCAAGTTGTTCTTCCGATTGAAAACGCTGCTACACTTTGGACACGGAAACTTGACGTTGCGAACTTGTTGCAAAGCAAACTGCGACGAGGTGGCGTTTCGTTCGCCCAGTAGCACAGGATTGTACAGGAATAACTCGTCTGCGAACAAAAGGAAACATTACAAGAAGTAGGCCAGTCTGCTATCTTGGCTGTGATCCACGTACGAATTTTTCTCGATCGGTCGAAGAACGAAGAAAAAAAAATATATATATAAATCTTGAAACATTAAACGAGATGTTTGTCGAAGTATCTCGAATGTGTATTTCGTGCTTTATTTGTTTTTTTTTTTTTCACTCGAGATCGATGATTATCTTCGTCGATGATTGCAATATATATGATCATTGGCGAAATTTGATACTCAATTTTTTATCCTATTTCTTTCCCTCTTATCCATCGATTCGATTGATGAAAGCAATGAAGTTAATGCGATCAATGGACTTTTCTCGATCGATCTACACAATACAAATCGAAGAATCATATTGAAATTACGCCTGAAACGATGATTTGTTTTCTCGCGAGTAAAATAAAAAAAAAAGGAGTTTGCGAAATCGAGGACGAGCAACAAGATTATTCAAATTGATCAAACAGTCTGTTTATTGACGAAACGCACGTTAACGGAGGATACATTGTGAGCATAGAACGCGAACGTTGGAATTATTGCACTGACCATGAAACTAAGTATCTCTTCGCGATCGGATCAATGCATCCCTTTCTCTCTCTCTCTCTTCCTCTCTCGCTCTCATACATCTCTCTCTATATACAGGGTAATTTCCTCATAAATGATATTCCAAAGGCAGTAAAAATCACAACGATAATTTTATTTTTGATACGTGTATATAACGTGTATATATCGATAAACAAAGATTGATGTTACAAGTCTCGTATACAAAGTCGCGTTCAAATATTTAAATTATCGTCATGGATTATTCTATCGCTTTTGAGTCTGAGTTAACAAGAAAATCACCCCGCACTGGAACCGATTTCAAACTACTTCTCTCCTTTTTGCTGATCCACTGATGAAGAGTTCGAAGACGAGAAATATCTGAAATAACCCTTTGCACTCCAGACCTTTTTCGTCGAACCAACAACTCCAGATGATTTCCGTTCGGTAAATTTCTTAGCTAACTTAAAATGATTTCACATATAAGTTAACGTATAAAACTTTTATATTCTAACATTTTATGTTATCTTTACATGTAAAGAAAGAAAATTTGTTGAATATTAAAATCTATATCGTTGTTTTGCATGATATTTTAATAATAATATAATTACCAAGATGCATCCTCGGTTTATCAGCGCAAATATCGCGATAAAATATCGTTTGATGTCTTTCACTTTTCTTATTTTATTGAGAGCAAATCTTACAATTCCAATAACATTCACTGTCTATTATTCTTATTTTTCATTCATTCTATATTCTTCTTATACTACATCTCTATTCTCATCGCTATTTTCCTTCTCTCTATCGTCAATTTCTCAAATGAATAAAAATAATTTCGTTATTCAATAACGAAAAATCAAGCTCATCTTCGCTCGAATTAATTTCATTACCGTATTTCATGCTTACAAAACTAAAAAACTTTGAAAATAATATTTCTATTCCCATGATGTCTGGACTTGGACACCGAAAATATAGTTCGATCCGCGATCTAATTTGAGATAAAAAAAATCTAAGCATTCGATATATATTATTCTACGCTTTATAAGATTATAAAGAGCTTAGGAATCTATTCGTGAAGCGATATTTTTAAAAAATCGAGCATAAATAAATATTGTCGCCGTTCGAATTGCCGCATCGATCCGAGTAATGGCGGAGAGTCACTTCTGGAGTTATCGAACCGAATAGTCATCATTGGAGCGCAAAGGGTTAAACGATAAAGTAAAACCTCGATCGGATGTCGGGAAAAAGTTGTTGTCGCACGATAACAATGTGCGAGTGAATAAAAATTGACGGTATGGCATGGAGGAGAAAAGACAAAGAGAAAAAAGAAGAAAAGAAAAATTTGGCTCAACTTCGAAGGATCGACGAAAGAAAGAAAGAAAGAAAAAAAAAAAGGAAGGAGTTCGTGAATAAAACGAGACGACGAATGCGTGGTTCAAACGGTCAGATTTGGTAGTAGATAAATATCCTGAACGTAGACCGCGTTCCCCTCGTGTTTCCGGCGTATATGCTTCTGTATGTTGGACGTCTTCTTCGAGATCAGATCACAGTAAGGGCATTTGAAGCGGGGCGGTTGGCCGCACTCGTATCTCAAGTGCGTGAGGAGGCTTCGTTTCTGGCCGAATACGCTCGTGCAATTGGCGCAAGGATACCTCGTACTGTTCGGTATGAAACTTCTGTAAAGCCTGCCACGGTGTCCCGCGCTCAATAACATTCTTGACGTGGCAAATTGTTTGAAACCTGGAAAAATTCAGTGCGACGATCAGTAAAATTTTGACAATGTTTTCAACTACCGAGATTTGTGTTGTAGGCGTTTTTGTCGCTTGTTTTTTTTTTTTTTTTTAAATCAAAAAAGAGAGAAGAGATACTTTTTCTCCTGATAAATCATCTTTTCACGTTCACGTTCAAGTTCTATTCAGCAGACGGCAGAGAAGAAACAAGAGACATTGCTGGTTTTACTCGTAAAACAACAATCATGCTAACGAAAACAAAACGAATAGAAAAATAAAGAAAAAAATCCCAAGAGAGAAAAAAAAAAATAATAACGTGAGTCGTTGGGATAAGAGAGATTCAAAATGCACTTTATTCAGAGTAGATCGATGACAAATGTTAATTAATTGAACAAGATGGATCGATATCTAAATTCGCCCTTTCGAACAATCGTGAAAAATCATTTGGAAAACCACTTTTGGCTCATCGGCATGGATTTTGAAACCGCAATAGGATTAAAATATCGTGAATATTTTTTTTTTTTTTTTCTTTTTTAAATTCACTTCTTGCAAATATCAAGAGAATATTTTCCCGCCTATCGTTCGAACGAAATTACACTCGTTGCTGGAAAACGTTAAATGACGATAATCTTAGAAAACTAGAAAGGTAACAGTGTGTGAAATTTTTAAATAAACTTTAAGGGGGGATATGTACGTATCGAGAGATCTCCTCCTTTCTTCCCTTTTTCTTTTTCTTTATTCTCTATAATTTTCTTCTCCACCAGTCGGTCTCTCCTTTATATAATATATATATATATATATATATATATATATATATATATATATATTTCTTAATCGTGTTTACATTTATCGTATGCCAGCTAGTAACGTACTCTGGACAATTGTTTATACAAGTCGATAATCTGCAACTTCTCGTCCTTGTGCATGCGTCGCACGTGGACGTACATGTTCGAGGAGAATTTCGCCTTCTTGGTGCAATACGGGCACTGGTAACGGGGCTCTTTACCGCACTGGAAATGGCAATGGGTTTTCATGTCGGAGAGTCTGGTGTAACCACTGTTACACCGTGGACAATAAAACTTTTTCCTCGGCACGGAATTTTGAACGGAGACACTGTCGGGCCAGTGGGCCCTCGAAGAAACGGAGGTTGGCAACGGAGGGGGAGGAGGAGGAGGCTCTTGACGACAACCGGCCGCCTCCACGTAGAGGAACGACTCGTCCTTCGGCTGCTGCGACTTGGAGAAATCTCTTCCCGGTTGCTGATAACCTGCATCTCCACCCATCGATCTCCCTCCTCCTATCATTTCAGGGCGAATGTACGACGAGTGTAACTGGCCGTACATCGGATCTAGAAAAAAGAATCGAATTTTTGTTGCAAGTTATTAGAAAGAACAACAGATTGGAAATGGAAACCAACGAGTTGACGACATTGCAGAAAAATACAATTTTTGTTTTTTTTGTTCTTTGCTTTTTTTTTGTTTTTCTCCATCCATGCTCCTTCAAAAGCTACTTTCGCTTTTCTAACAGATCGACGAGTTCTCTTTCCTTTTTTTTGCTCTTTTTTTTTTTTTTTTTTTTTTTTTTACTTTATCTCGCATTTTTTCTCGATTCGTGTATTGTCTCGTTTAATGGTGCAGAAAGAGAGATCTAGTAAGAGAGAGGAGGGAAGAAAAGGGGAGAAGAGATAAGATTAATATACAGGGAAAGAAGAAATCAGAGAATATGTATACACGTATGATTTATATTAGGAATATCCAGATTGTGGAAATCCTTTGGAAGATCGATTTTCTCGAGAATGTGACGAACACGTTTCTTAAAAATGCCTGTGACAATCGATCCTTCTAAAGAATTTTCGTACATATATATTATTTTTCAACGTAATTCTGTATTGATTTTTTTTTCAGAATTATGACGATAGGATGAATGTGCGCGAGTTTGATAACTTTGATTTATTTGTAATGCTTTTACATATAGGAATTCGCATCGCTAATTCTATAAAATATAAATATGGCAATCTGATTCGCACGATATCACATTATATTTATAATGTATACTTAAAATCTAAAAGAGAATCGATGTTCAATAAATTGATTTGTATATCTCGAAACATGTATCATAAATAATGATACATTTTTGTTTTGTCGTTACAATGATAATTTAAATAATCTTTAACATCATAGATAGAATACGGTTGTTGATCATTATCGGAATATTTATCGAGTACTACACTTTTGTTACAAGTTAAAACGAAATGGAAATATCTTTTATCAAACGAAAAATAAATAATTTTTTTCTATAATATTAATAATAATAATAGTAACAGAAACGTACGAGGTTGCCTGTTTAAGTAGTTTACTCAATGGCAAATAAATGAGATATATAAAAAAAAAAATGATAAAAAAAAACAAAATTTTCCATTGCACGTTCAAGTAAACCGAATCGATAGACTGAATTTATTACCGGTGCTAATAATACTGAATAATGTAAATTAACCGTATTATATCATTTCTGTTTCTAAAATACTTACATAATTGAAGAATGAACACAGTATTAATAAATATTCTTGCATGAATTCGGTGCAAAAAAAAAAAAATCAAAAATATAAGAAAATATAAAGAATTAAAAATACGACAATATAAAAAAAGAACACTTTTTTTTTTTTACGAAATAATTTATTCGGTGTCGGATGCCACTTCATCCGTAATGTTCAAAGAGGGACTGCTGCACTCGGATATAGTGCAATCACTTTCATCATTGCTCCTCTGCCCGAATCGTCTCACGTACGACACAGGCGTCGCATTGTTTTTCCTTGTTTGCTTGTTCTTACAAATCCCGTAATGGCGATACGGTACTTTAGCAGCTTTGAAAATCCTGTTGCAAAACTCGCACATGCTTATCCTCCCGCACTCGTTTCGTATGTGATGGGTCAAACTTTTCCTCTCCTTGAAACAATGGCCGCACGTTTTGCAAACATGCGAGCTGCTGTTCACCGAACGCTTGTTACACTTCGCCTCCGGATTCTTCAGGCAATTCCTCTTCATGTGCGATGACAAATTGGTGGCGCGAAGAAACGTTTTCTTGCACAATTTGCAAGAGTAAGTCGTCCTGTATTTGTTAAGATCCACCGCATCCATCCACTCGGTGACGGTTGAGGCGGTGCTGCTGATCGAATCCCTTCGCATCCTGTTATCCTCGTTGCTCGGCCCGGCCATCTCTTCCTTTTCCCCCACTTCGTTTCTATTCCTTACGAACGAACCCCCCTCCTCCTTCCTCTGATCTTCTTTCCTTTGCTTCCAACTTTCGCCCCGCCAACTCTTGTTAAAAACTCGTTCTCGCGAGTTTCCCCTCCTCTGCCCCACTCTCCTCTCCGAGCTCACTCTCTCCTCGCAGTTCTCCTCGCGCTCGCGCCACTTTTCCACCCGCTCGCGCGAATTCTCGAGTTTGGACGAACTTTCGCTTTGCCCGCGCAAATCTTTCCTCCCTTTGCCCTTTCCTCCTCGTACGCTCCTCTTCTCCTTGGCCACAGCCAACTTTCCCCCTCTCTCGTTCCATCCTTGATCGTATAATTTTTTGTTTAACTTGTTTAATTTAGGAGGGGGACTGCTATCCAATCGGATGCAAGATATCTCCATTTCTCGCTCGCTCTCTGCCCATTTAATCGATATTTTATCGCTCATTTCTTCGCTCGTATCTTTATTTCTTTCTTCCTTCGCGCCTCCCTCCTTCCAACCGTTTTCTCCGCTCGAAAAACTTTCGATACTTTCTTTGTTGCTCGCGCTTTCATCGTTTAAGTTTCCGCGAGATTCGTTCTCGTCGATTCGTCGTTCGATCGAATTTTTCTCGCGATCGAATAGGCTCGAGCTCGTCATCTTTTCATGATTATTCACCTTGCGCACCACTCTTGCGATCGGGCGGATGCTTATCTCCTCATTTTTGTTCAACGCGTACAGTATCCTCTCGAGCTGCTCCGCCTCGAATCTCGTTCTCTTTTTCCTCGACGCGTTTCCTGTAACACAATTCGAATAATAATAATTTCCGTTTACGTTTGCTTTTGAAACTTCGAAGAAGGGGAAGGAATGAAGAGAGAAAAAAATCAAAGAGGGGGGATTAAAAAGAAAATAGTAAATTAAGGGGAAAAAAGAAAAAGAAGAAGAAAACCCATTGTAGTCGTGTTTCTACAGCCGTTATCGTGCAGAGGAAAGAAAAACAAGGCAAGGAAATGGTGAAAAAAAAAAATGGAAAGAGAGGAAATCGGTCGAACGAGTAAAAATAATGGCGAACGATCATCGTAATTTCTCCTTTTATTCTCATTACACGCTTTCTTATGTTGTTACAATTTAAGGATTAACAAACGTTAGCTATGAATTCTTCTCATAATAATATACAAATTCGAAGATCTAAATAAAAAGAAAAAAAAAAGACCTTTTCCAAAGTCTTCCTAACCCAATACAAAAGAGTCTAAAAATATATTATCTTAATCACAAGTATCGCATATAAACTTAGAACAAAGATCTTTTTCTCGTTCCTCAATGAGATATTGATATAATATAAACGTTGACCCAAAAGGATTGACCGATTGAATTGAACACTGATTCGAAAAAATTTCTTTCTCTTACAAAAATTTTCGTTTCGATTTCGTTAATTGTGCGCATACCAATGATCGATCATTTTCCTTAACAAAATCTTCGCAAAGGAAGAAGTTGCTTGAAATTAACAATTAAAGCCTTCGCTTCTGAGACACTTTGTATATTATATTCAAAATCTTAATAATTTGAAAATCGGTTTTGGATTTCGAGGAAAGAATAAAGTTGCAAGAATATTGGATAAGAAACATAAGATATTTTCATTTCTTAGTTTTTTTATATTGCATCTTTTCTCTTTAAAATTACGATGATGGTTTTAACACGAATGTGTGTGAATTAATTTGATTTTATTCATTGTATATATATGAATGTATATATATATATACTATTACATAGAACTTCGCAATAGTTTTGTAAAAAAAATTATAATGATTCGAACGAGATTACATCATGCTTAAAAATATATTTAAAAAAAAATCTTTAAATCAAAATCATCGATTTCGATAATCGAAGAACAGATTATGCATTACTGCTAATTGTGTGATTTATATGATCATGCATACAAAATATCGAATACGATGTTATTTTGTTATAAATACGAAACGAAAATAAAAGGATCTAATTTTATGTATATATTTGAAAATTAAATAGTAAAATTTTCTAAAATAAATAGAAACTTTTTCCGAATTAACCGAATCAATCGTTGCTGAATAATGGCAAAAAAAAAAAAATAATTTAAGATATAAAACGTACAAAAAAATAAATAAATAAAAAAAGAATCCTGTACTTCGTCACGATATGTTTAAAGTAAAATAAGATATAGATTAATATCAATAATATCAATACAAATACCATTTATAACAAAACATAAAACAAAATTGTAATAAATAATAAATTGTAATAAATTGTAATAAACTTTTATACTAATTAAATACAAAAAAAAATAAATAAAAAACAAAAAGAATTTCACGAAATAAGTTATTCGCTGTCCGATATCTGGAATATGAAATTCGAAATAGAACTATTGAACATGTTGGAATCTAAGACAAAATTATAATAAATACTATTACAGTAATTAAATTCAAGAAAAAAAATAAATAAATAAAAGCAAAAAAGAATTTCACGAAATAAATTATTCACTGTCCGATATAATCTCGAATATAAAATTCGAAGTGGAACTATTGGATGGAATTTAACAAAACTGTAATAAATATTTTCATACTAATTAAATAAAAAACAAAAACAAAAAAGAATTTTACGAAAAAAACTATTCGTTGTCCGAGTAATATAATCTCGAATATGAAATTCGAAATAGAACTATCGGACACGATGGAATCTAAAACAAAACTATAATATTTTCATATTAATTAAATCCAAAAAAAACAAACAAACAAACAAAAGCAAAAAAGAATTTCACAAAATAAATTATTCGCTGTCCGATATAATCTCGAACATAAAATTCGAAGTGGAACTATCGGACACGATGGAATCATTGGCATCATGACTACGAGACGACCTACTGCGAAACATCACGGAAGTGGCATTTGTTTGTTCGCACCTTCTCTTGCACGCTTCCCGATGCCTATACGGCACCTTCGCCGCCTTAAAATCCTTCTTGCAGAATTCGCACGTGCTAACTTTTCCGCATTCGTTCCGCGCGTGAAAGGTTAAATTCTTTCTGTGCTTGAAACGGCGCCCGCACGTGTCGCAAACATACAATGTGTCGATGAAATCCTTTCCATTGCTGCGCCTCCTCATCGTGTCCGGATTCCTTGGGCAGGTTCTGTTCACGTGCGACGACAAATTGGTGGCACGGTGAAACGTCTCTTCGCACCACTCGCACCTATAACTTTTCGCGTACCTCCTCGCGTCCCCGGCGTCCATCCATTCCGAACTGCTGCTCGCCGACCATCTTTCTCCCTTTATCTCCCCGTTGCTCTCGCCTTGTTCGCAAAGCATTTCGTCCCGATCCGCGAGCCTCTCCATCCGTGCCTCGGTGATCATACTGGACGACGTCAGCGCTTCGTTCTCTATCCGTACGAATGAAATTTTCTCCCTTCCGTCCCCTTTCCCCGGGCTTCTCCTCCGCGCCTGTATTTTCATCCCCTCTCTTTCGTCCTCTTCCCCGTTTCCGTTACGCGCCAACACGAACGAGATTCTCCTTCGAAGCGAGCCTTTGCTCGGACTGTTTATCTGCGCGAACGAGTCTCTCTCCCGTGTATTGTCGTTGTTGTCGTTATCGTTGTCGTTTTCATCGCACGTGGACGATTCCTTGCGCGGGCTTATCTTTCGTTTTGATAATAATTCGTGTTGATCGCAATATTCCATCTTCGCGCTGTTGCGTGGAATTTTCAATCTACGTTCCTTTTCATTCCTATTTCGAGAGCTTCGTTTGCAAGGATTCTTTACAAACATTCTTCTTCTCTCTCGCGTCGCGTCCTCGTCACACGCGGACGATTCTCCCTCCGTGAGCGAGACGATTTCGTTCAATTCCCCTGGATCTTCGGATCTTGCCGGACCTCCTCCTTCCCGAAAGTTCTTTCTCCGGCGCGACTTCTTGAATTCGAACATCTTGCACGCGCTTGTATCACCCTTCGTCGCGTCCCGTCGAACGATCAGCTTGGTCTCTTCGAGAATTGTGGGTCGTGCCACGCGGGTCTCGCGGGTGAAACTCGTTACTTTCCCTTTGCCGAACATTCTCCCTATAACACAATCACAATAATCGAATAAAATTGCGCCCCTTTTTCTACAAATCTTGAAAAAAAGAAAAGAAAAAAAAAAGAAACGTGACACAAAGAGAATTCAAACCACGAGGAAGAACAAAGAGAGGTGAAAAAAAGAAAAAAGAAAGAAGACACACCGTAGAGACGTGTACGTATTTCATCATGCAAAGAAAAGAAGAGAGAAGGGGGAAGAAAAAAAATAAAAAAAAACGAACGACGAGGAGAGGAAGAAAATCGATCGGCCTATTACCAGTGGCAATCGCGAGCTGATCATTTGCGATTCCTTTTTTATTCTCATCGTACATTTTCTACAATACAATTTTGAGAGCTACAATACAACCATCTATTCTAATGATCGTCATGCTTCTCGCAACGCGTGTCATAAATTCCAAGATTTATAATTAAAGAAGGAGGGAAAGAGGGGAATGAAGAAGAAAAAAAACAACGATGCTTTCGACAGTCTTCCAAAATTTCTCCATCTCTCTCCATCTCTCTCTCTCTCTCTCTCTCTCTCTCTCTCTCTCTCTCTCTCTCTCATTCACTCACTCACTCACTCACTCACTCACTCACTTACTCTCTCTCTCTCTCATTTCTTCGTAGAGTTTGCGGATTCAATGTTTCGACGAATGGCAAATGCCGATCAATCTTGACGCGAGGATATCTGAAAACATCGAGCACCATATCAGCGAACGCATATCTCAATCACACAAATATCGTGGAGAATGATAATTGATTACGAACACGAGGAAAGCGAAATTAAGAAAATTAATCGCGATCGTTTTCTTTCGTTTCTCGTCGTATTCCTCCTCTTTAACGGATATCTTATGTTACATTTTACTTCACACACAAAGGAGAGTATACGATGCTAATGGATATTCTAGAATACGATACAATGTACTCGGTGTGTTTCTTCTTCTTAGGAATGGGATATTCGAAACCCTTTGAAATTTCGAACTTTCTTTTACAATTCAAAAACTTTCGAAACTCGAATAAGAAAAAAAAAGGAATTTTTATAAATTTTGAAAAGTTGAAAAGTTTTTAAAAAAAAAAAATTAAAATTTATCGAGATTCCAATCAATTATAAGCTTCGAGTTTTTGTTTTTTTTTTTTTTNNTTTTTTTTTTTTTTTTTTTTGAAAACTCAGGTTTCGACCCATCTCTACTCTCGTTATCCCGAGTTACGTTTGATTTAACGGGTTTGAAAATTGCAGGGAGGGCGTTGGCGGTGTTTGCGCAAGCTGCTACTGTGAAGAAAGGTTTTCCCGCAAACGGGGCATTTCTGCGTTCTGCCACAGTCGTGCCTAACGTGGAAAATGAGATGCGACTGTTTCGCGTAACAGGCGCCGCACTGGCCGCAGGAGAACGGCCGGCTCTTTTGCAACTGGTGGCACGTCGATCTAGGATTCCAATAGCAGAAACTCTTCTGGTGACTCCTCAAATGACCGGAAAGGGTGAAACCCTTGCCGCAGTATTTGCAATTGTATTTTCTTTTCGAGTCGTCCCCACGTATCGAGTGCCCCGCGAAAAACTCTGCAACATTATTAACGATCGATATCAGTTATGCATCATTCGTCTCGTTCATCAAACTCGTGGAACAAACTCGCGTCTCTCTCCGTAAATTTGCGTCGGGTAAATCAGTTTGCCGTTTCTTAATAAAAGAATTGCTAATTTGCAATATTCGCTCCCTGCGAAAGGGAGATT